GGGGTGCTGGTGCGGAGTCTGGGGGTGCTGCGTCTGGGGGTGAGGGTGTCCCTTCGGTTTCTGGAGAGCCTGGGTCTGGAGCTGGTGTTGGTGCTGCCTCTGGGGGTGGTGTGCTTGGTGCTTCGGAGGTCGACTCTGGGGCTGCCGCTGCCCCGGACACTACTCCTTCCCCCCACCCCTACCCGACCAGGTTCCAGGCTCGTGTTCGCCGTGCTCGTGAGGAGCAGCTGGAGTTGGAGAGAGAGGAGAGAGAGTTGCAGCGGCTCGAGGAGCAGGAGCGACAGCAGCAGGAGCAGCAGCAGGAGCAGCAGCAGAGGCAGCAGCCGCTGGAGCAGCAGCAGCCGCAGCAGCCGCAGCAGCAGCAGCAGCGGCTGCTGCCGTCTCCTCCTCCTGTCTCGGGTCTTCGGACCCTTGGTCTCCCCTCTCCCTCTCCTTCCTCCTCCCCCTCTCCTCCCGTCTCTGGTCCTCCGCTTCCTCCTCCTGACCCCTCTCCCGCTGTTTTCCCTCGTTCTCAGTCTTCGTTGTCTCCTCCTCCTTCTCAGACTTGGGCCTCTCGTCGCTCCCCTCGTGCTCGTCCCTCGTCTCCTGTTCCCTTCACTGACCTTCGTACAGCCTTCCTTTGTTCTCGTCCACCTCGTCCGTCTCCGTCTGTGCTTCCGTCTCCTCCTGAGTCGGCCCTCACTGTGTCGCTTCCTTCTCCTGTCACTGACTACTACCGCACGTACCGTCCTGTTCTCTCTCGTGTTCTCGCCTCTCTTGTTACCCACCCTCGTGCCTCTGTGTCCTCTGTGTCCGCTCTTACTGCCGCAGTCACTGAGTTTGCCTCTACCCGCCGCCTTGACTTCGCCACCGCTCTTGTGGCTGCTCCTCCTTCCAGTCCTCTGGCCGTCGGGGGTGTGTCTGCCCTTGGCAGTGACGCCCTAGAGGACAGGCAGTTTGAGCTAGAGTTCCTGGCCGCCGCTTCCCCTCATCTCTGTGCCATGCTCCTCGCCCCTGAGGGTGACCCCGACGCCCTTGACATTCCGACTCCTCGCACTTACGCTGAGGCAGTGTCAGGGCCTTGGGCCTCTCAGTGGAGAGCTGCCATGGACGCAGAGATGGCCTCCTACAGATCCACAGGCACCTACGTCGATGAGGTTCCCCCTCCGGGGGCGAACGTAGTCGACGGCATGTGGATCTACAGGGTGAAGCGGCCACCGGGATCTCCTCCGGTCTTCAAGGCGCGCTACGTGGCTAGAGGTTTCAGTCAGCGCGAGGGAGTTGACTTCTTTCAGACCTTCGCGCCCACCCCGAAGATGACCACTCTTCGGGTGTTACTACACGTAGCAGCACAGAGAGACTACGAGTTACACTCTCTCGACTTCTCTACTGCTTTCCTTCAGGGCAGTCTTCACGAGGAGGTCTGGTTGCGTCGTCCCTCTGCCTTCACTGGCTCTTTCCCTCCTGGGACCCAGTGGAGGCTGAGGCGACCGGTTTACGGTCTTCGTCAGGCTCCTCGTGAGTGGCACGACACCCTGCGTTCTACCCTGTCTGACCTTGGGTTCCAGCCGTCTTCTGCTGACCCGTCGCTGTTCGTTCGTCGTGGCCCCACACCTTTCTTTGTTCTGGTCTATGTTGACGACCTTGTTTTCGCCACCCCTGACAGGGTTGCTTTGGCACACGTGAAGTCCGAACTGCAGAAGAGACACACCTGCACTGATCTTGGTGAGCTGCGCCACTACCTTGGCCTGCAGATCACCAGGGACAGAGCTGCTCGCACCATTACACTTTCACAGTCGCACATGGTGCAGCAGGTCCTTCAGCGGTTCGGGCTTCAGCACTCCACAGTACAGCGCACACCTCTTGCTGTTGACCACAGACTCACTGGACCCTTTCCTGACGAGCCGTTCGAGCCTAGTGGTCCCTACGCAGAGCTTGTGGGTTGCCTCATGTACCTGATGACTTGTACTCGCCCGGACCTCGCCTTCCCTCTCAGCGTTCTTGCGCGCTTTGTTGCGCCAGGGAGACACCGTCCTGTTCACTGGACAGCAGCTGTGAGGGTGGCGAAGTACCTAGCGACGACGTCAGGCGTGGGGCTAGTTCTTGGAGGGCAGCAGTCTGTCGTACTTACTGGTCACTGTGACTCCTCTTACGCTGACGACGCTGAGACTCACAGGTCTACTCAGGGGTACTGTTTCAGCCTGGGTTCTGGAGCTGTTTCCTGGCGGTCCACGCGCTCCTCTTCGGTCTCGACCTCTACAGCTGAGGCTGAGATCTACGCTGGTGCCATGGCGGCACAGGAGCTGCGTTGGTTGACCTTCTTGCTCACCGACCTTGGTGAGCGGCCGAGCTCTGCACCGACCTTGTTCACTGACAACAAGGCGTCTATTCTCCTTTGTCGAGAGCCACGACTGGAGAGCAGAGTGAAGCACATTCACGTCAGGTACTTTCTTCTGCGAGAGTTGCAGAGGCGTGGACAGGCTCGCTTTGAGTTTGTGGAGTCCGAGGCCAACACTGCAGACATCTTCACCAAGGCGCTTCCGCCTTGTGACCACCAGAGGTGCTGTGTGCAGTTAGGCCTTGTTGACACTGGTTCTCGTGTTGCTTAGACTTGAGTGTACTGTTTACTTTGCTTTCTATATACCTCTGTTACTTCTTGGACTGGCCTTGTGGCCACTGTTGTTTGTGCTCAGACTGTGTGGTGACGTTGTGATCCACCCTGAGCTTCGTTTCTTGGACTGGTCTTGTGACCGTACTCGTGTGGTTCTGCTAGACACCCCTCACTTAGGCTATGGGGGTGTGTCAAATGTTGTAGCCTATAGTGAGGTTTGTCTTAGGGGGTACAAAACTTAGGGTTAGCTATATGTACCCCAACCAACATCAATGCATCATCCATTCTTCATTTTGGACACTGCCTTGCCTCCCGACCCCTGCTCGATATGTCGCTGGCCAATCACAGATCACTATCTAGCGAGAATGCTCAACTTCGGGTGGTAACATGGTTGTTTGCGAATTCATATTCAGGAATCTTGAACTTGGAAAAAGCCATGCCACAAAACAAGATGAACAAGATTGACGTATTTGTACGCATATGAAATGCTGCAACATGCCTGCACATTTTTCGCAACTCCACACTGCCTTACCGTATTTGTCACTAAGATCCATGCAGCTATAAAATCACCCCACATCAGCTACACCACCCCATGTGACCTTCCTCTTCTGTCCCTTTCCCCCCCTCTCCTTCCGCCCTCTCTCACTGCTATCCTGGACCTTGGCCCTCCCTACCACTGTATCTACTACATCATCCTCGCCCTCATCGTTTCCATCATCCTCCTAGTGCGTCATCCTCGGCTTCCTTGCCCCTCTCTTCAACTCCCTTACCAGCAGCATTCTCACACTCCCTACCTTCTCCTTCCGTGTTCCCTCCTACCATCAGCATTTTCCAAGCGTTCTGAAAGGCTGAACTTCGTGCAGCCCGTTTCCCTGACGGCCCCAGTTCGCGTGCCCTCCTTTTCTGCCCAGCCTGCTCCACCTGCCTCTCCTTCCTTCCCGGCGCCTCAGCCTCTACACTGTGCCCCTCCCCTCTCCTCCTTTTCGCCCTCCCGGCCGCAGCACCTGCACCCCCCCCCATGGCAGTGGATCGAGTAGCATCCACCCCATCCTCGCCAGCAGGAGCAGCACGAGCACATGCAGCAACAGCAGGAAGAGTAGAAGGAGGCTGTGATGCATACCCCTGCTGTGGCCAGGCTGGTATGACTGGAGGAGAAGCAGACTGGGAAGCGAAGGCATGAGAGGATGGGTGCGGCGGAGGTGGGAAGGGAGGAAAGGGCATGTATGGATAGGGTGGGTAAGGAGGGGGATATGTTTGATATGCGGGGAAAGGGGGCTGAGCTTGGGTAATCTGAGGGGCTGTAGTAGGGGGACCGACTGGGATCAGAGACTGCGTGGCTGTTGATGGACGCTCCTGCTGGTGCTGCTGCTGTTGGGGCAAGAGAAGCTCTTGCAGCTGCTGCGGCAACTGCTGTTGTTGCTGCTGCTGCTGCTGTTGCTGCTGATGCTGCTGCTGCTGGGGTAAAAGCAATTGTTGCAACTGCTGCAGTAGCTGCTGCTGCTGTTGCTGCTGGCGTTGCTGGGGTAAGAGCAGTTGCTGCAGCAACTCCTGCTGCTGCTGCTGCTGCTGCTGCTGCTGTTGCTGATGCTGATGCTGCTGCTGCTGCTGGGGTAAAAGCAATTGTTGCAACTGCCGCAGCAGCTGGTGCTGTGGTTGCTGCTGCTGCTGCTGCTGCTGCTGTGGTAAGAGTAGCTGTTGCGTCTGCTGCAGCAACTGCTGCTGCTGCTGGGGTACGAAAAGCTTTTGAAACAGCTGCAGAAGCTGGTGCTGCTGTTGCGACTGCTGCTGGGGCAACATTAGCTGCTGCAGCAAATGCGGTTGGCGCTGCTGCTGCTGTTGCTGCTTCTGAGGCCATGGGGTCTCGGCTGCTAGTGAGCCTCCTGCTGAGGTACCACCAGCCACCACTGCTCTGGCTGTTGCTGGTGTGAATATCTCTGCTACTGGTGCTGCTCCTGTGGCCGCTTCACTTGTTCCTACTGCTGCTGGCACTGCTGCTACTGGCACAGTTGCTGCCCGCACTGCTGCTGCTGGCACTATTGTTGCCGGCAGTGCTGCTGTCAAAACTGTTGCTGCTGGCACTGCTGCTGCTGTCGTAACTGCTGCTGCCGGCACTGCTGCTGCCGTCACTGTTGGTGCCGACACTGCTGCTGCCGGCACTGTTGCTGCTGGCACTGCTGCTGCTGGCACTGTTGCTGCCGGCACTGCTGCTGCTGGCATTGCTGCTGCCGGCACTGCTGCTGCTGGCACTGCTGCTGCTGGCACTGCTGCTGCTGGCACTGCTGCTGCCGGCACTGCTGCTGCCGGCACTGCTGCTGCCAGCACTGTTGCTGCTGGCGCTGCTGCTGCTGGCGCAGGTACAGGCGATCCCCCTCCAGCGACATGCCATGTTCCCAGGGAGGGCTGTGAGCGGTCACTGGGGGCAGCAGGTAGCCCTGCAGCAACGCGTGCACCAGGTTGCAATGGGGCGCTGAGTGGGCGTGGCAGCAACGGACGGAGGCAGGCGGCAGGTGGGCGAGGAGTGGTGGACGACCGACGCTGCCTTGGGCCATTGGGAACTGGCTCATACCCACACATGCCTCCTGCACGCACCGCTTGCTCACTGCCACACTGCTGCTGCTGCTGTTGTTGCTGTTGTTGCTGCGGCTCTGGCGTTTGGAGTGAAGGCAGTGCACCACTGTCACCACTGTCACCACTATCATCAGCGCTGTCACTATCCTCTTCGCCACCCATGCCAAGTTCGTCCTCATCCTCTCCTCCACCACCTCCCTCGTCACCAGACGACCACAAGCCATCCCACTTGGCCCCCTCCACCGAGTTTGCTGCTCCTCTCCCCACTCCCTTTCCTCCCTTTTCTCCTCCTTGCTCTCCTCCTCCTTCGCCTCCACCCTGACCTGTTCTCGCCTGACCCTGCCCCTTCCCTCCTCTCCCACCCACACGTCTCCCACCTTCCTCTTTTCCAATCTTCCTTCCCGCATCCACTTCGCCTGCCTTGACCCTCCTCCGCCACTCCGCATCCTCCTCCTTCCATCCGCGCCTCCCGCCTTTCCCAGGCCGGTCCTCCAGAGGGTCATAGTAGTACGGCGTGTTGAACAGAAAATTCCTCCACACTCGACCATCCCTCCTACCAACCCTCTCACCCTCCCCAGCCCCGTCTCCCCCTCCACCACCACTCCCTGCCACCCCACCCTCCTCTCCCTCTGCACTCTCCCCTACGAATCCCCCCTGCCCCGTTCCCCCCGTGCCCCTTCTTTCCTGCGCCTGCACCTGGAGCCACTTGCACCACTTGTGGCCCTGCCGCACGCGCAAGCGCACGCGCCACCTCTCCCCGTCCAGGGCGCGCAGCAGCGCCCTCACGTCGCGCCCATCCGCCCACTCCTGCAGGTCGATGCCCGCCTCTATCGCTGACTCCACTGCCCCTTCTGCCCACTCCGCTGCCTCTGCTTTCTGCTGCTCCTGCTCCCGCTGTGCGTCTCGGCTGTCCCTGTGTCGTGCTGAGGAGAGCAGCTTTGTGTGCGCCGATGCCTCCATTGTCCACACCACATCTGTCTGTGCTGTTCGCCACTTCTTCTGTCGCTTCCTGGCTGGCCTCTGCTGCTGTGCAGTTGGTTGGGGCGGATCCGTTGAGATTGTGTTGTTAGCAGCAGCAGTGTGGAGAGCATCAGCAACAGCAACAGCACCAACAGCAGGAATAGCACCAACAGCAGCAGCAGCACCAACAGCTGCAGCAACACCAACAGCAGCAACAGCAGCAGCAGCAGCATCAGCAGCAGCAGCATCAGCAGCAGCAGCAGCAACAGCAGCAGCAGGAGCAGCAGCAGCAGCCGCAGCAGCAGCAGCATCAGCAGCAGCAGCGGTACGAGTGAGCGTGGCAGCAGAGGGTAGTTGGTAGAGGCCTGAGATGCAGGTGGAATGGATGTCCCAGCGTTGCAGCAAGGCAAGCATCCATTCCAGGGTCAACACGGATGACGAGCAGAGGGAGGAGGGGGATTGGGGGCGCAAGGACGTGGTGGGGGGAGAGCAGGATGGCGCAGAGGACGTGGTGCTGCACGGCAGGTGCAGGCGACGGGCGAAGAGCTGAATGGACGAGGCAGAGACGGTCACAGGCCGGCACACGAGTGGCGCTCTCCTCTCTTCCCATGCGCTCTCCCTCTGTGCCGCCTGCTGCCACTGCAGCCTTTCCAAGCGCCTCTTGATCCACTTCGCCAACACCCCCTCCCTTTCTGTGGCCCCCTTTCTCTGTCTCCACAGATTCCACGCCTCATCCTCCTTCTCCGGTCTGCTTATTCCATTCCATTCACCTTTCTCCCTCGCGTTCTCATTCTCCTTCTCCCTCTCACTTTCCCTTTCCATCTCCCACTTCCTCTTCATCTCCCTCTCCATTTCCTTCTCTCTCTCCAGTTCCTTCTCCCTCTCCATTTCCTTTTCCTTCTCCAGCTCCCTCAACCTCTTCTTCTCCCTCTGCCTCACCTTCTCCCTCTCCCTCCACCACTCCTTCTCCCTCTCCCTCTCCTTCTCCCACTCCCTCTCCCTCTCCCTCTCCCACTTCCTCTCCCTCTCCCTCTCCTTCTCCCTCTCCCTCTCCCTCTCCCTCTCCCTCTCCCTCTCCTTCTCCCTCTCCCTCTCCTTCTCCCTCTCCCTCTCCCTCTCCCTCTCCTTCTCCTTCTCCTTCTCCATCTCCTTCTTCTTCTCCTGCTCCTTCTCCATCCCCCTATTGCCATCCCCCATCCCTCCAATTCGCTTCCTCTCCACCCCAAACCCATCATGATCCTTCCTCCGCACACTCTCCCCAACACCCATTCCCCTTGCCTCCTGTTCTTCGTCTGCAGGTGGACAACTCCCGAGGAGCTCTTTCCCCTTCACTGCTGGGAGTGCTCTGTCCCCCTCCTGCTGCCATGCGTGCTGCCACAGCATGGCGCGGCATGCATCCACGGCATGCACGAGCTTCGAGCACCAGTTGTACGACAGCTTGAACTCCGGAAACACTCCCACCAGCGGCCCAATCCGCCTCGCCACCTCAATAATCACCTCTTTCCGCATCACATACTGCACCCTCGCGCCTCCACGGCCTCTCCCAGCAGGCAGCGCAGCAGTGGAGGAGGGCAGAGCAGGCCAGGAGAGCTGCTCCCAGTAGATCTTGATGGCAGCGCCAATGTCCTCCAGCCACCGCGCCAGTGCCACCTCCAGCAGGCGCACGGCCTTGATGCGCGGCCTCTTCAGCATGGCCACTCTCAGCCCCGCCGGCAGCTGCAGCCAGCGCCGGCGCTCACACAGGAAGGCAAAGAGCACGCCGGGGCTCAGCTGCACGTTCCACGCCTGCTTCACCGCTCTCAGGATCGACTTCAGCCGCACACCCGGGCGAGCCTGCATGACGAGGCACAGCGCTCGCACGCGGCTGAGCGTGATCCCTTCCAGTACCACTGGCTCCTGCCCTGCCCCCTTGCTGCGCTTGTGCCGGGGGGGGCGCCACACGCAGATGAGCCCCTCTGCATCGTCCTTGTGGCCTCTTGCGCCCTCCTTTGTCCCTGCTGTGTGCTTGGCTTCCGGAGGCGGGAGCTGTGAGGAGCAGGCAGAGGCGCGGATGAAGAGTGGGTGAGTGGGCAGCATGCTGCGGTAATTGGTACCCATGCATGCCACACGACGGGAATACTGCTGGCCCCACAACCTCACCGATCCGCCCTCTGCCCTCTTCTCCTTCCCACCCTCTTCTCCCCTCTTCTCCTCCCCTCCCTCTTTCCTCTTCTCCTCCCCACCCTCTTCTCCCCTCTTCTCCTCCCCACCCTCTTCTCCCCTCTTCTCCTCCCCTCCCTCTTTCCTCTTCTCCTCCCCACCCTCTTCTCCCCTCTTCTCCTCCCCACCCTCTTCTCCCCTCTTCTCCTCCCCTCCCTCTTTCCTCTTCTCCTCCACCCCCTCTCCTCTCTTCTCCTCCCCCCCCTCTCCCCTCTTCTCCTCCCCTCCCTTTCCCCTCTCCTCCTCCCCACTCTCTACCCTCTTCTCCCCCTCACCCTCGCCCCTCTTCTCCTCCCCACCCTCGCCCCTCTTCTCCTCCCCACCCTTTCCCCTCTCCTCCCACCCACCCTCTACCATCTCCTTTCCCCCAGCCTCCACCCTCTGCCTCCCCCCACCCTCCGCACCTTGGACATCGCCCGCACCCTCCCGCCTCTCCCCACGCCCCTCCCCCCCTGCCCCCGCGCCATCCCCCGTGGGAGCGCGTCTGCGCCTGCCCATGCGCGCGCTCATGACCTCGAGGTGCGTGGCCCACACCAGGCTGCCGCGCCCCACGGGTCCCTTCACCAGCACCTCCGAGTCCACCACTGCTTCCTCCACCACGTCTCGCCGGAACTCCCTCACCGTCTCCCGCGCTGCGCGCTCTGCAGCAGCCAGCACCGCGTCAAAGTGCCGGTCCCCTACCTCCACCTCCACTAGTCTCTCCTCTCCCCCCCTCACTCCCGCCTTCCCTCCTTTATGTAAGTTCGCCCCTTCGTCGCTCTCCTGCCCCCACTCCTCCTCACTCTCCTCCTCGCTTTCATCTTCTTCGCTGCTTGAGCCGTCACTCTCGCTCTCCTCACTGCCCTCACACTCGCCGTCCTCCCACCCAGTCACCCATGTCTTTCTCGCCCAATTCACGTCCAAAGCGTTTGCTTGCGCCTTGTACACAGCCGGCCTGTTCCAACCAATTCCCTTCTGCCCCTTCCCTGCATCCCGCACACCACTAGCGCCGTAACCACCACCATTGCCACCACCACCCTGCAAAGTTCTCTCACCCCGTGTATCAACCCCAGCACAAACCACGTTCATTTCGCAACAGCCATCATCACCAGCATCCCGCACACCCCCTTCCGGCCCATCCTCGTCCGCCTCTACTTTCACCACCACCCTCTGCGTTGCACTCATATCCCCTCCCCGCCCCACTACTCCTTTCCCGCCCTCCCTCTCTCCCGCGCCCTTGCCACCTCCCTTCCCCACTCCGCCCTGCCTCCCATCCTCATCCCCACACTCCTCACCCTCGCTCTCACTCTCCTCCCCTGCCCCGTCCGTGCCACCCGGCGCCCTTTCAGTGAGCGGCAGCAGCAGCAAGCCATAGCGCCGCATGAACGCCCACACCCACTTCTGCGTCAGGGGGGCTTTCACCTCCGCCAGGTACTTAGGCGCGAGCGCATGCGCGCGCGCGAGAATGCGCTCCACAGTGGCCTGTCTCTTCTTCTCCTGCTCCTCCCGCAGCACCCACGCCGCCATGTCGTCCTCCAGTCGCACCAGCTCCATGCTGCGCGCGGGGCAGCCGCCCGCCTTGATCCACTTGCGCTGCTCGCGCGCGATCTTCTGCACCTTGCGCGGGGACACGTCCACGCCGTGCTTCGCCAGCACCACGGCGGAGATCACGGTGGCGCTCACGTGCGGGCGCAGGCAGCGCAGCACCGCGATCTCGTACTTCACGCGCACGTCCATAGGCGGCCGCGCGCTCTGGGCCGGCAGCGAGAAGCGGGTGGGCCTGTTCTTGGACCCCAGGAACGGGTGCCTCCACTTCCCCTCCGTCACAGTCCCTTCTGTGCCTGCTCCTTCGCCATCCTGTCCGCCCTCCCCGCCACTGCCACCCTCCCCGCCACTGCCACCCTCCCCGCCACTGCCACCCTCCCCGCCACCTCCACCATCACTGTCACTCTGGTGTCCTTCTCTGCCCCTCTCTGCTTCCTCCGTACCTCCATCCAACACTTTTTCCAAACCTCCCACTTCTTCACCCCCGGCCCTTCCTCTTGCATCCTCCCCTCGTCCTCCTTCCTCACCTCCTCCTCCCTTTCTTCCCCATCCCTCTCCTCCCCATCCCTCTCCTCCCCCACCCTTTTCGCCTCCCCTTTCCTCGCCGCGGGCATCGCCGACTCTATCCGCCTCGCCTTGCTTCTGCACCACCGAACCATCATTCACCCCTTCACCAATGCGCGCGTCCGCAAAGTCCGCATGCCCGCCATTCACGGCGACGCTTTCATGACGACCCACTGGGCTCATGGCGGGCTCCCCTCCGCCGCTGGGGAACGTCACTTTCTCCTGCGGCTGCGTCGCCATCGCCTGGGGAAGATGACGGTGACCCGCCAGGACAGCCGGCTGGGCAACCTTTGGGGCAACGCCTCTGAGCTAACTCTTTGAGATACTATGCTACATGGGGCGCGGGGGAACGACTGCTGCGACTACTGCCGCTGCTCGTCAGCGGTCTCCCTTGAGTTTTGCTCCTCATGCTGGAACGCCAGGCGTATTGATCATTCTTCGAGTCACGCGAGCCCGTGTTGGTACCTCGAACTTTGCCAAAAGGGAGGAGCTCTTGCGATACGCTCCACAGGGGCCAAACATAGTATGTTGAGTCAAAATAGCAGCCTTTTTCTGGAATAATGTAGATTTGAACTAATGCGGAAACTGTGGAACAGAGTCGGCTTGATAAAACGCCCTTGAAAACGGGTTCAGCGATCGTCACCGAAAAGCTGAATCACCTTTCATAGTTCCATGAAAGGGTGCCTCAGATCACGGGGTCACGTCTGAAAAGTTTGATGTGAACGTGTGGGTAGAGTAGAATTTTCATTGAGCAGAACTATCGCTCTCAGGAATAAGGAAGAAAAGAGCTCTCTCGCAAGTCAACACCATCGCCCTCAGTGGTAATATGAGAGAGTGGAGGAAAAGAAAACCCTAGATTAGTTGGTACAATTCGCCCCTTGGTTGTCCTTATCTCACACCGTGGCGTGATGAACCTCGCTTCTCCTGTGTTATCATTCCACGTCACGAAAGTCTGGTTGCATCTTGCTTCGATTCGACAGGTTGGAGGAATGACTGACGCGGAACAATGACGATGTGGCAGGATGAGAGTGCTAAAGGGCATTACTGAAGCCGAGCGACTCAGTGTGTGAACACATGGGTGATGCATGCAATTACCCTTGTCCATACCTTTTTTTGTCGCGACCCTCTTCACCCCCCAGCTTATTTCCAGTGGAACAGAAGCGAGCACTGCACAGCCTACCTCGCCACTTTTCGCCACAGAGAAAAGGTGGAAAAGTGGTAACACTTTTCAAATATAACAAAATATTTGACAGCATGATAAGGTAGTGATTGATCAACGGCTGCAATATTACATTAAAATCCACAGGCCAAGAAGTTCAACCTTAGGAAGGTTGGTTGGGAGTGAAAACGCTATAAGCTTGCGAACAAAAAGGAGTGTCTGAAAATGTTGGACGAGGTCTAGGACTCGGGAATGATCACATGCGTTTTTAGTACATCCAACCAACGTTAGGAAGGATGAACCAATTTTGGCCTTATTGGCCCGCGAAATAGGCGAATGTGGCGGTAATGCTGCGCAGCTGCGCATGGCCGCGACGCGTGGTAACGGGTCACACGAGGGGTGCATGGGAATACACCCTCGTTCTCGCTCATCTCACCGGCGGAAGCACTGGCTACAGTGTTTGGACGTAGCGGGCTGGTGAGATAACTTGGTTGCGGGCAAAGTCGCACGAGGCGAGGAAGCAGGACTTGGGCAAACAAAAAATCGTTAACGTTGAATATCCGTCTTAACCCTTTAAAACCAGCAGTAACATTCTAGAACGTATAAAACCTTGACTCAACGCCTTGGGTCAAATTGTCACTATAACGCATGTGATAGGACCTTCTTTGGTCCGCTGCGGCTACACTAAGCGTCCCGGTCAGTATAACATATGCCAGTCTATCGAGAATGAGGGTATAGATGTAATGACGGGTGCATCGAGTGAATGCTGCAACAATTGCGCTTGTAACAGGCATGGGTACCAACACCACATAGATTTGTGTTTACTGAACACATGTTCGTACATGGCGAAACTAAAATGTCCCTTGTGCATTTGGTGCACGTTGACCCGCAACGACGTAGCGTACAGTAAGAGGCGAAGACGTCCGCGGCGTCAAAATAAATTCGTCCACCGTTTCCGCGACGCCTGTCCCTGGCCTAGAAACAAGGATGCCCAGCGGCGACGTCTTTTGTCTTGGTACACATGTGGTGAGTGGGCCGGGGGGTCTATAAGCTTGGTGCAACTGCCCGGCCCCAACAACATGTGTGGAAGCTTTGTAAAATTGAATAGGAAACTTCGCGGGCAGCAGTTGAGCATGATGTGTACTATCAATTGCATGTACAGTATTTGGAAACTAGTCTGCATGCAGTTGGGATTGGCTCCAGCTATCGCCGATAGACACAAATGGCCAAGCATGCCCCCGTCATTAGGGCGTGTAAGATCCCCGTGCACACAGACTCGGCCATCAAAATTTTGTGGCCGTAGCGAAAGTAACCATTTCGTGATCGGTTTGCGAATCTCGTCGATTTCGGCCATCAAAATTGTGATTTGATGGCCGAAAAACCCAGTCGACTCTTTTCCGACGCGTGGTCGACTTCAAATCGGCCATGCTGTCGACAACAGCTGGCCACAGTAAAAAACGAAGTCGCATACGCTGCTACAGTGAAATTGCGACGTCGCATACATGTATGCGACGTCGTCGAAATAAGTCGGAAAAAAAGACAAACCGAAATCTTCCACCTCTGTTATTTCGGCCAGCAAATCCGTGTCATATTTGGAGGCCACATTGAGGTGGCCGAAAATTTGTCGGCCTGGTGACGACTCATCCGTCGACCTTCGCGAAAGCTTTGTCGACCAAAATGGTCGACAAAATTCAGCCAAAACGTGTGCACGGGGATCTTACACGCCCTTACATCCACTCCCATGCACCCCTTGTGTGACCCGTTACCACGCGTCGCGGCCATGCGCAGCCGCGCAGCATTACCGCCACATTCGCCACTAATGATTGTCCAATCCCCTTGCCAAAAAAACAGGCTGTTGTTGCGGTTCGCGCTGCGCCAAATCTTCTAAATCCCTGCCACGCTCCCTAGCTTTCGCTTTGGAACAGAGTTAGCCCCAGCGTTTCGACGCAGCGACACGGCTTCGACAAGTCTTTCGCCATGGATTCCTGCCGCGGCGCTCGTCCCAGCAGCACCGCTTCCTCCTCCGAGATTTCCGCACCTCTTCTGCCCCATGCCCCCCCGTATCCTTGCCCACCTGTTGCTGCTGCTTCTACCGAAGCCGATGTCCTCCAATCCTCCCCTTCCGCGCCATCATTCGCGCCACTCTCGCGCGACTCGCGGCCATGGCGGGACCAGCTGTTTCTCATCGCCTTCCTCGCGGCTCTCGCGGTCCTCTGCGTGATCTGCCTCATCTCCGCCCTGCTCGAGTCCCCCGGCCTGTCAACAACGCTCGTCGCTCTCTCGTACGCGCGAATCGTTGTGGCCGTCGTTGCCGCCGCGCCGCTCGTGTGGGGTGTGCTGCTGTACGTGAGGCGGCGCAACAGCCTCACCGTGGTGCTCCCCATACTCCTCGCGCTCGCCGTGCTCCTCTTCCTCCTCGGCGCGTTTCTGATTCTCCTCCTCCCGCGGCTCCTCTCCTCGCACTCTCTACTACGCACGAGCGCGGGGCCCGTCGCTGCTGCTGCTGCTGCCACTGCAGTAACAGCAGCTCGAGCAGTGTTGATGCATGGAGTATCTTTCGTGGTTGACACCACTGCTGCCGCTCTCACTCCATCCCTCACTGCCAGCACCAGCAGCGCATGGCCACTCACTCCCAGCCGCCTTGCATCTCCTCCCCTTTCCGATTCCCTCTCCCTACTCTTCTCCTCATCCCTCTCTCCGAACAACTCCGCACCCCTCACCTCCCCACCGGGCATCCCTTCCGTTGTACCCCCTCCGTTTCTCGCCTCCACGTTTCCCCACATGTCCGTCCTCGCGTCACCTTTCCTGTCGTTGCCCCTCGGCTTCTCGGTGTCTCCGCCCCTCCTGGCCCTGGACTCGAACCACTTCATAGTGCACTACTCCTTCCTCTTCTTCCTCATTGGCCTCGCCATGCTCCTCCTCCTCTCCTCCCGCCCACTCAAGCGCCTTTCCCTCTCCCTCCTGCGCCGCACGGCCGCCCTCCTCCTCGCTCACTCCCAATCCGTCCTCTTCTTCGTCCTGCTCCTGCTGCTCCTCCAAGTCCTCGTTTCAGCACCACGTGCTACAGTCATCAGGAAGGTGGTAACCATGTGCTCCGTGGCAGCAGTGGAGGGCAAGATGACAATGATGTGCCAGGCGTGGGTGCTCTATTTCCTCTGGCTTCTCAACAACCCGCTCTTCCTGCTCCTGGCCCTGTGGGCCGTCGTGGTCTTCGCTATGTTCATCTTCCTGCTCGTTGCTGCCCTCGTGGGCCATGGGTTGAGCGCAGAGGAGGGAGACCAAAGGGACGAAATTCGCCGTGGAAAGCGCACTGTGGAAGCTGCTGTTGGGGGCGATGCTGCTGCTGCTGCGTACCCTGCTATTGCAAGTGCAGGCAGTATTGCAGCAGTCGCAGCGGTCCCCACGCATCCAGGCTGGCCAGCGCATGCGCCTCATCTGCCCGCGGTGACTGGCAACACATATCAGCCTCCGCTGTGGCGCCACCTGTCTCTGCTGGGTCAGGCGCTCAGGTCCGTCCCTGCGCTGCACAACCTTGCTTCACCACCACCTCTCGTTTTCTTCATTGCGCCTCGTACCCTGCCTCCAGATCCCATACTAGAAAGACATTGTTCCTTCCGTCTTGGAAATCCTTTTCATTTCCCCTTCATCGACCACCAACTCCCATGATCCCTCGCCCTGCACTGTCTCCCCAGGTTCGCCCTCACGCGCTCCCTGGGCACGGCAGCAGCAGTGGCGCTGCTGATCGTCGTCTCGTATGTGCTCTTCATTGCACTCTACTACTGGCTGGCGGTGTATGTGTTTGCCACCTGGGAGGTGCCGGGCCTGCTCACGGGCACTGCTGCTGTGCTGCTCACCGCGGCGCAACTGGTGCTGCTGCAGCTACTCACCTGGTGAGTTGAGCTCACTTGATTGTTCTTAGGCCGTGCTCCCATGTCATTCTCGCTTTCCCCCTTAAAAGGTCAGGCACACACGGACACACGAATACACCTGCGTGCTCATGAATCCTCACAAATGAGCGTGGGGTTATGGATTCCCTCTTCATCACGTTGCTCAACCTTCCAAGTCCAGACCAGAGAGAATCCCATCACCTCATTCATGTGCAGTGAGCACCGGCCTGTGAACATTCCAGATCGTGCCGTTCTGCCTGTCTACCCCACTTACCCCAGGTTCGTGGTGCCAGTGGCAGCTATCATGGGCAAGGGCGTGTGTGCTTCTCTTGCCATTGCCCTGCGCCTGCTGCCCGCACACCTGCTGCCCTCGCTCGCCCTCTTTGTCTTCGCTCGCCTCCTCGTTGTGGCCCTTGCAACCATCACCCAAGCACTGCTGAGGCTGCTGGTGCGTGCTTGCAGGGAGGAAGGGTACAGAAATGGGCAGGGTGGGTGTGGTGAGGGAGAGAGTGCGAGGTAAGAGGACGAGGGGGAAAGGTGGGGTTGTGGGGGAAGGGTGATGGGGGGGTGACATCCCAGCAAGTTCTGTGTGACTCATCTGCGAGGTTTGCTAGTGTTTGACTTGCATGCGCTTGTCTGGATTGCAAGCTCCTCATCTCAACTGGTCTCATAAGTCATTTCCCAGTACATTCCCCCACCGACACATCTCCATCTTTCTCCGGTTGATTGTCCCCCTTCTCGCTCCTCCCCCTCCTGCCGCATACTCTCTTTCTCACAGCTTTTTTCCTGCTCCTCTTCCCCACACCCCAGGCGTTTGGCCTCACTCCCTCCCCACTGTCCGCCTCGCCTACATGGGTCGTTGCTGCCTCCTTCACACGCCTCTTCCTCTCCTCCATTCTCTCCACCGCGCTCTCCACTCTCACTCTCTCCCTCCTCGCCGCCGTGCCGGCTGTCTACGTCTACCTTGCGCTGGGAGAGAGGTTGGATGCACACACAGGGGAGGTGCTGGGGCTGCAGGGAAAAGAGAAAGAGGAGGTGGAGGAAGGGGGGTCAAGAGTGATTGAGGTTTGAGTGTGTTGAGATAGAGCAATGGGTTGATGTTGAGGTCCATGCGGTTGTACATGCGTCTTGTGAAAGGCAGTATTGTATTTTATGGCACGGGGTAAAGGTTGGGAGATGGTGGGAACCAAAAGAAACATGAAAATGGGATAGAAAAAGATGTCTTCTACTAAATGGGTGCTGTGGTGGATTTGCGCTACATCTGTCTCCTGAGTCTTATTTGTGAGAAACTTACGGGAATGATGTGATTAGGTCATGGAAGGGAGGTACAAGAGGGTGTGGAGAAAGTATGTGTACCCCCTAAGGCTAGACCCAGTACTATAGCCTAGATATATGTCAAACATATATGTCGCATATTGTCTAGGCTGTAGTGGGGTAGCCCATATGGGGTACAGCCCAATTAGGGTTTACTACTTGTACTCCTGCATGCTGCTAGTTCATTCATTCCTGCTGCTAGATTCTAACATGGTTTCAGAGCACTAAGGTCCGTAGGACTGTTTTTTTTTCGGGCCCACCTACCGCTGCGGTTACCGCGCTACCCCACGTACCTGCCTGCCTTGCCTTGCCTTGTGACGTGCTGCACTATGCGCGCCGTCCAGCAGCCCTAGCGCTGCCTCCTGCTGCCCTAGGCCAGCGCGCTGCCCCTAGAGGCCCGTAAGGCCCACGCGCCGCCCCTAGAGGCCCGTAAGGCCCGCGCGCCGCCCCTAGAGGCCCGTAAGGCCCGCGCAGCCCGCTGCAGCCGCGCGCAGCCCGCACAGAGCCCACGCAGCCCGCGCCGAGCCGCGCGCAGCCCGCTGCAGCCGCGCGCAGCCCGCACAGAGCCCACGCAGCCCGCGCCGAGCCGCGCGCAGCCCGCTGCAGCCGCGCGCAGCCCGCACCGAGCCGCGCGCAGCCCGCTGCAGCCGCGCGCAGCCCGCAGCTGCCGCGCGCAGCCCGCGCCGAGCCCACGCAGCCCGCGTCGAGCCGCGCGCGGCCTGCTACGGCCTCGCGAGGCCCGCGCGCGGCCCGCAGCAGCCCGCGCCGAGCCGCGCGCGGCCTGCTACTGCCTCGCGCGGCCCGCGCGCGGCCCGCAACAGCCCGCGCCGAGCCGCGCGCGGCCCGCTACTGCCTAGCGCGGCCGCGCGCGGCCTGCAGCAGCTCAGCGCGCTGTCAGCGCAGCCCGCGCCGAGCCGCGCGCGGCCCTCTGCCTCGGCCACGACCTGCCGCTGATGCGGCCCCGCCCTGCAGCTACCACGGCCCCGACCTGCCGCTGATGCGGCCCCGCCCTGCAGCTGCCACGGCCCCGACCTGCCGCTGACGCGGCCCCACCCTGCTACTGCCGCTGAAGCGGCCCCGCCCTGCAGCTGCTTCGGCCCTACTCTGCAGCCGGTTTTGCGGCCCCGACGCCGCCGCTGTCGTGCGCCTACTCGGCCGCCGCCCGTCGAGCGCCGGCCTTACTCGCCCGGTGAGCGCCTGCTCTCCCAGCCTTTGGTGAGCGCCTGCCTGCCTGCCTGCCTGCCTGCCTGCCTGCCTGGCTGCCTGCCTGCCTGCCGGCCTGCCTGCCTGCCTGCCTGCCTGCCTGCGCGCCTGCCTGCCTGCCTGCCTGCCGGCCTGCCTGTCTGTCTGCCTGCCTGCCTGCCGGCCTGCCTGTCTGCCTGTCTGCCTGCCTGCCTGCCTGCCGGCCTGCCTGCCTGCCTGCCTGCCTGCTTGCCTGCCTGCCTGCCGCGCCTGCCCTGCCCGCGCTACTGCTGCTGCTACTGCTACTGGCAGGTGGCCAGATGCAGCTCCAGCGACGTTCACGCGAGCCTCTCACGCCCCAGCAGCTTAGTGAGTGGTATACTAGCTGGGGTTGTCGCAGTAGCCGTCGTAGCTGTCGCCCTGGAGCTGGTCAGTTGGGAGCGTCTGGCAGTGGCCAGCTGCAGCTGCAGGGGCGTCCACGTGAGACACTTACGCCCCGTCAGCTACAGGAGTGGTACGCTCAGTGTAGCAGGTCTACGCGTACAGTTCGCTGCCCGTACGTCATTCGCACAGGTGCTAGGACTGGTCAGCCTTGTGGGACGCTTGGTCACACACAGTCCCGCTGCTTCGCCCGTCTGAGCGACGACTGGCGCACAGTGTTTGGCGACGAGGCTGAGCTCCCCACCTGGCTGGAGCTGCATGGACAGAGGGTAGATATCTTTGCGCTTGACTATGATGCTATTCTCACTGCCATGTATGCATTGCCTACTAGTGCTGACCGTGCCTGTTACCTGTGCGTACCGCCTGACCCTGGTGAGGCTGCTGCTCTAGGTGCTAGTGCGTCTCCTGCTCTAGGTGCTGGTGAGGCTGCTGCTCTCGGTGCTAGTACGTCTACTGCTCTAGGTACTGGTGAGGCCGTGGCTTCAGGTGCTGGTGAGTCTGCTCTCTCTGGTACTGCGCCAACTACGGTCTCGCACACCTTCACCCTTGACTCAGGAGCTTCCCGCTCCTTCTTTCGCGACTGCACCACACTCACGCCGCTTAGTCGGCCAGTTCCAGTCTCCCTGGCGGACCCCTCCGGGGGTCCAGTCCTTGCCCACTACTCCACGGTTCTGCCGTGTCCGGCCGCCCCGTCCGGCTCGCTGTCAGGTCTTTACCTCCCCTCGTTCTCTACGAACCTGGTGAGTGGAGCTGACCTCCAGGATCGGGGGGTTGACCAGTTCACTCCTGCGAGTCAGCGAGTGACTCACTATACGTGTGCTCGGACGGGCCGGCACTTGGCCACGTTCACCCGTGCACCTGGCTCGAGTCTGTACACACTGACCACTGAGTCCCCTGAGGTAGCTGCGTCTGCGTCTACGTCTGGTCAGCTGGCGGCCCCCTGCGAGTGTCGCGCTTTGTCGCACGACACTCTCCTGTGGCACCACCTGCCCTCCCTCCCTCGCCTGCGCCGCCCTGCATTCCTTGCGTCGAGGGGCGGCAGCGCGCCGCTCCTCACTCCTCCTCGTTTCCTCCCACAGAGGCTCCACTGCAGACGCTCCACCTGGACGTGTGGGGCCCCGCCCGCGTCCAGGGCCGCGAGCGGTACTTCCTGCTGGTCGTCGACGACTACACGCGTTACACCACGGTCTTCCCCTTGCAGAGCAAGGGGGACGTCCCTGCTGTTTTGATCCCTTGGATCCGCGCTGTTCGTCTCCAGCTCCGCGAGCGGTTCCGGCGGGACTTTCCTGTCCTGCGTCTGCACTCTGACAGAGGTGGTGAGTTCTCCTCTGACCTCTTGGCAGCCTACTGTGCGGAGCATGGCATCACCCAGTCGTTCACGCTTCCGGCCTCTCCACAGCAGAATGGGGTTGCTGAGCGCCGCATTAGCTTAGTCATGGAGGTCGCTCATACCTCCATGATCCATGCGGCTGCCCCCCATTTCCTGTGGCCGTTTGCGGTCCGGTACGCCGCGCATCAGCTCAACCTCTGGCCCCGTGTCTCCTTGCCGGAGACCTCGCCCACACTGCTGTGGACGGGGAAGGTTGGCGATGCGTCGCGTTTCCGGGTCTGGGGTGCTCGTGCCTTTGTCCGCGATACCACCGCGGACAAGCTCTCCGCCCGCGCTGTTCCCTGTGTCTTCCTTGGCTTTGTCCCTGACGCGCCTGGTTGGCAGTTTTACCATCCCACCTCGCGCCGTGTCTTTGCGTCTCAGGACGTCACGTTCGACGAGTCGGTTCCCTTTTACCGTCTCTTCCCCTACCGCACTGCCCCGCTCCCCCCCCCGCCGCTCTTCCTCGCTCCAGGTGCTCCCCAGGTAGACCCCCTCCCCGCTCCCGGTCCTGCTCCTTCAGGTGTTTCTCAGGTAGACCCTCCTCCCTTGACTGCGCCGGTTGAGGTCACTGGTGACTCAGGTCCTCTAAGGGTGGTCCTGCTCGGGGTGCTACTTCTGGGGGTGCTGAGCCTGGGGGTGCGGAGCCTGGGGGTGCGGAGCCTGGGGGTGCTGAGCCTGGGGGTACTGAGCCTGAGGGTGCGGAGCTTGAGGGTGTGGAGCTTGGTGGTGCTGAGCCTGAGTGTGAGGGGTCTGGGGGTGCTGAGCTTGGCGGTACTGACGCTGGAGGTTCTGGAGCTACTGAGGGTGCTGGCGCTGGAGGTTCGGGAGCTGCTGGAGGGCCTAGTACTGGTGGCGCTGGAGCTGGAGGTTCTGGAGCTGCTGAGGGTGCTCGCGCTGGAGGTTCTGGAGCCGCTGGAGGTACTGGTGCTGAGGGTACTGACACCGGAGGTTCTGGAGCCGTTGGGGGTGCGGGCGCTGAGGGTTCTGAGTCTGCTGTTGCGCGGTCTCCTTGGAGTAGCCGCCTTCGTCCACGTGTGCCTCTCACCCCACAGCAGCTGCAGGACTGGTACGGTCGCCGTCAGCGTCGCGCTGCTGGAGCTAGGAGTGGTGCTGGTCCTTTGTCTACTGGAGGTGCTGGAGTCGCTGGTTCTGGAGGTGCTCGTACTGGAGACACTGAGGCTGGAGACCCTGGGACTGGAGGTGCTGGCTCTGGGGGTGCTGCTGCTGGAGACACTGAGGCTGGGGACCCTGGGACTGGAGGTGCTGGTTCTGGGGGTGCTGCTGCTGGAGACACTGAGGCTGGAGACCCTGGGACTGGAGGTGTCGGCTCTGGGACTGGAGCTTCTGGAGCTGCTGGAGGTACTGGAGCTGCTGGAGGTACTGGAGCTGCTGGAGGCACTAGAGCTGCTGGAGCTGCCGGTACTGGTGCAGCTGCGCCGACACGACTGTTCTTCGCTCCGCCGTCTCCGTCGTCTCTGCCGCCGTCTGACTCTGTTCTTCGTCAGGTTCTTACTCTCCCATCGTCTACTGGTCTTCCGTTACAGCCTGGCTCACCGCTGCCTGCTCCTTCTCCTTACACTGAGCAGACTGGTAGTCCTGCTGAGCGTCGTGAGCCTGCGTCGCGTCCTGTTTCGCCTGTTCGTCCTGGTCGTACCGGTCGTCGTGTTCCTCGTTCGCGTCAGCCGGCTGTCCCCAGCGCACACCTCGTAGTCCGTCGTCCTTCCTCTGCTCCGCAGCCTGTTCCTCTGCCGTCTCCTCCTGC